AATATAATCAATAATCAGTATGACGACCGTTAGCATTCTTTACAGCACGAAGACGTGACGGATACGAACATAAGAGAGTTTCATATAATTCAATATCCGTTTCCATATTTTTCAAAACATCTGAAATGTGTTTCTTCAAAGTTTTTCCTCGATAACGATCATGTTCCGTTTCTAATAGCATTTTCTTTTCAACTTCATTTTTAATTACTGTTCCAATATGTTCAGCCACATTTAGACCAGGCGAGTTTCCGGGCCAAGTGTCATTTCCCCAGAATTTGATGTTATTGTCTTGAAGCAAATGTTGAGTCATATTTGCTCGCATGCATGGTGCTTTGTTATGGACAAATATTACTTCATCCGGATCGATAACATTTTCTTCATTTTTTAGAAATGGTATCACATGTTTCCATTAGAATTGTATCACGAAAATATTGGCTCGTCCAAGATTCACCTTTGTCTTTGATAACCCAATGTAACTTTTTGGCAGTAAAAATCACAAAAATCCCAATACACACTTGATTTTTAACCATTTCACGATATCTTTCATCGTCTTCTATATCTTCAATACTTTTTGCCCAGACTCGATCATTTTGATAATTTGGTCAGCGAACGATCCAGACATAAAATTCATCTGATGGCGCAAGGTGTAGAAAGTCTTCTTTAGTCCAGTCTTTTAACCAATCGCAGAACCACAATCGATTAGAAATATGAGTTTCTGTTTTTAACGGTTTTGGAATAACATGAAAAGGCTTTAGTCCTTCTCTGGAACGATAATTATCGATGGTTTTTCGAACAACATATTCGTTTTGCTTTTCTGCAATTTCTTTCGCCACAATATAAGAGCTTTTCCCTTGTTTGCCACTGGCGTTCAGAATGATATTTCTACTCGCTTCTGATAACTTCAGTTTACGACCAGATTTCGAATAATCAGCAAAACATTCATCATATGATTTCTCCCACCACTCAGTAACAAATCGAGTAGTTCGATGAATTTTCTGTGCAATCCATTGTCGATTAATAAATGTTGCATCCTCATCGCGAGCTTCACGAAAAGTGATGCATTTAATTCTATCGACCATTCTTTGCTCTTCGTTGTCGTAAGTACCAGCCATTTTCAATTAATAAATTTAACTGATCAATCAATTTGGTATACTTTTTCTATTTATAGAGTTTGTCTATCACTAATGACTTTATATAAGGTCTTACGAACATTTAAAATTCTTTTTCGAGAAATTTCTAAGATAAAATAGGAATGAGAAAAAATAACGTTGACTAGCTGCTACCATGAGTCATTATCCTTGGAAAATGAAAGAAAATTATTTTTCTTCTATAACATTAATACTATGCGAAAGAACAGAAACGAAAAATGAGTGCAAACGAGCAAGTCACTTAGAAGAATATAAATGTGCACTGTTTTATCTTTTCTAGTATAATTCCAATACATCGTTATTCACATTTCAGAGAGATAAAAGACAAAAGAAAGCAAAAAAAAATAATCGTAGTTTCAGCTTTGAAGCACGTTGAATTCTTATAACACCGATAGATCGACGGATATATGTAGGAAAAACAATTCCATTCTGGTCAAATGATTCATTATTTACAGAGTATCGCCATTATATTTCAAAAATTGGTTCAGTTCAACATAGAAAAGTTTCCATATCCCTTACTATTTAGTACTGCTAAATCCCGTTTTTGACGCGCTTTAATTTGGTATAAAATTTGTTATGATTGCTATTTGAAATCATAGCGTTATCCCCCTGGAATAATATTTTTACCCACCTAGTATTTCGAGCATGGGAAGAACAACTTGATCAATCAAAAGTATATTTTGTATTTGATTTATTCAAATAAAATACTATGAATACGTGTTGTTTTTTTTTTGAAAGGCAGTTGAAAGTGATGATGAACAACAATAACTTTTCAGTATACCATTTAATGGTGCTGTGAAAATAACTGGTCTATGTGTTATTGATGAAAATGGTCCATCACATCCGAATACAGTTAAATTGTATGTGGATAAATTATTTCAATAAAGTAGGAGTTATGATTTATATATATATATATATATGAATAGATGGAGTAATTTACCTGAATTACGTTTTGATAATGCACATGGAAAAGCTCATCAAGAAATTTCACTTACATATGATCCATCCGGTACATTAGCTTATCAAGTCAAGTAAATATCTTGATTTTTTGAAAAAATTTTTAATCAAATATGTATTTTAGTCCATCACATTTTTCACGTGTAACACATTTATCTTTATATTTTCCTTCGAATTTCGGTGATGAAACAACTCGTATTTATTATATTGGTCTTCGTGGTGAATATCTTGGTGTAAGTGAATGTTATATTTCAATATGATTATGTATGATGTTTTTCATGTATAGGAAGTAAAATCTAAAATAGTCATTACAACGTATGAAACTAGACCACAATTAAAAGATCACAAAGTGGATGATTTTTTAACAGGCAATCGTGAAATACAATAAACT